AAAAAAAAACACGAATAATTATGGAATAACATGTATTGTAATTTTTCCATTTCAGTGTTGATCAACATGGAAGTAGATTCATTCAGCAGAAGCTATTGATGTGCAGTCTTGAAGAGAAAGCATCCGTTTTCAAGGAAGTCGTCCCTCATGCTTCCAAACTAATAACCGATGTATTTGGGAACTATGTTGTTCAGAAGGCATGGTTAAATTTTTCCCTGTATCTGGTTGCTCTTTCTTTCTATATCCTTACCATGGCTCATGTAATTGCATATTTTTTCTTTCTGGTGTTTTTTTTTTCAGCTTTTTGAACACGGGAATTCAGAGGAAAGGATGAACCTTGCAGATCAACTGAAAGGTCAAATCCTGCCTTTGAGTTTGCAGATGTATGGATGTCGTGTAATACAGAAGGTAAGTATCCTGACTTAAGTATGTTCTACAGCTGTGTTGGACAAATAGAGCAGGGAGGAGATGCTCACATCCTTGTGACTTCAACGTTCATAGAAGAAAAAATATGCAATAATTAAACTAACAAGGTTACGTTCTATCAGCTTGAATTTGATCCATTTCAGTACAATTTTCAAGTGTTATTGGCATAATGATATTATCCAATTTGCTAGCTTAAAATTTCTAAATTTAATATTTAATTTCACTTTGATAGATTTTAGTGAAATGGTATTGGTATGAGTGGATTTTCCATGACACATAGTCATGATCTGATTATATTGCTGATATTTTTCTTACAATTCTTGTCTGTTCCAATTGTTTGTTTGCAATTGATGTTATTTCTCCATCCAGTTACTATTTTGGCTCCATCCAATATTTCCTTAGGTTTGTCATATGATTAAGGAATAGTGGTTCTAATTGCTGTGTACATCTTTGCTTTAGGCTCTTGACGTTATTAATTTGGAGCAAAAGACAAGGCTTGTACAAGAGCTTGACGGACATGTATTGAGATGTGTTCGTGATCAAAACGGTAATCATGTTATACAGAAGTGCATCGAGAGTATTCCCCTAGATAATATTCATTTCATGGTTTCTTCTTTTCGTGGGCAAGTTGCCTCACTCTCAATGCACCCTTATGGCTGCCGTGTCATACAGGTAAATTCTTTGTTGCCCCCTCCCCCCTCTTTCTTTTTTTTT